CCCCCCCCCCCCCCCCTTTGTTTCTTAAACAGATCTTTGACATCTGAAATTTACTTGCTATCTGGAACCAATTTATTTAGAATTAGTTTTGTCATAGCTAACATTGTTTGTCAATATGCATAAACGTACATCCTGTGCAGAAAATTTTATATCATTAGAATCTCACTCAGTCGGCTTTCATTTGTCATTCCATATTTCTACTGTCGTATCTTTTATGATTTATATGATCATTTACAGAAAGAGCCTGAGTTACTCGCTGGAAATGATGTCTTGTGGACATTTGTGAGTTTTGCCGGAGAGGACCATACTAATTTTCAAACTCTTGTGGCCTTCTTGGAAATGCTGAGTACCTTGGTATGGAAAGTCCTCAAGTAATTGCATTGGAGGGAGCACATTTATTTGAGTGTTCATCGAGTTCTTTTGACAACATCTTCATTCCCTTTCAGGCCTCCACTCAGGAAGGCGCTTCTAAGGTTTACGAGTTACTCCAGGGTAGAGCATTCCGCAGTATAGGATGGAGCACTTTGTTTGATTGCATTAGAATTTATGATGAGAAGTTCAAGCAGTCTCTTCAAACTACTGGAGCCATGATGCCTGAGTTTCAGGAAGGCGATGCAAGAGCACTTGTTGCGTATGTGAACGTACTCCAGAAGGTCATAATAACTTGTTTAAAAAATTTGCTCTTTCAACTTTCAGTCCGCATTTTCTATTGTTTTACGTTTACGTGATGCTTTTTCTCTAAGAGACTTCAGCTGGTATGCTTAGGAACTTTCACTAGATACGATTTGTTTCTAGTTTCTTAACTTTTGGTACCTCTAAAACTGAAGCCAAGGCATGTGAATTTTAGTTTTGATCTGTGGATAGACTGATATTGAACAATGTATGTGACGTGGACATGAGTTTTAGTAGGTGTCGTTTCTCTGGCTCTATAGTGTCCCTCTTTTTGTAGTTTTCGTGAATTGTATATGCATTGTGTTTTTTTTTCTCACTTGAACTCCTATTCTATTGCATTCTGCAGTTGGTCTCTTTAACTGTAAACATCACCATCTTTTATCCTTGCACATAAATTATTCTCTTCTTACTGTGAACTATAGTAAGTTGTTCCATGTGTTTATGCTCTCATGGTATGTTGTCATGTACTGGACTAATACCTGCTTTTATATAGTCAATTAAAATCTTATAGTTGCATGCAATATAAAGAATACTAACACGCCTTTAATAATCTAAATATCTGCATGATGTCTGCTAAAGTGAGGTTTGAACCGTAAAGATTCTCCTGTCATGGTTCAAGTATTTTTGAGCTGTGTAAAAGATTTTGCTTTATCTCTGACATTCCTGTTTTGCAGGTTGATCTTTACTCATGTTGGTCAACTATTTCATGTTTTTGGTTTTCTTGATGAAAGTAAATTTTGAAGAAGTGGTGAATGGGTCTTTTCTCATGTTACTGCAGGTCATTAAAAATGGGAGCCCCATCGAGAGGAAAAATTGGTTCCCTGACATTGAACCGTTGTTTAAGCTCCTTGGTTATGAGAATGTGCCTCCATATCTGAAGGTCAGTGACATGCCGAAGAATCTTCGCTTTGCCTTGGTAACTGTGGTAAAGATCTGGTTTTTACTAAGCTTATATAAATGGTAATTACATTGTTCTGCAGGGTTCTTTGAGGAATACCATTGCTGCCTTTGTTCATGTGTTCCCTGAGTTGAGGGACTCTATTTGGACCTACCTGGAGCAATATGATCTGCCAGTAGTTGTTGGAACCCCGGCTGGAAACGCTGCGCAGCCCATGGCTGCTCAGGTTAGCATCAAGATGTCATGAGATAACTATTATAACTAAGAGTTATATTTTGTTAATCCTAAGTAGCTTTTACTAATTAGTCATGCTGATCAGACTTATATTTAATTTTTTTCCATGTAATATAATCAAATATGTTGGTTTTTATATTTTATTATAATTAACTCGAATAGTATTCAATAGATATATGCTTGTATTGGCAAGTCTTCAGTAAAACAGTTTCGTTGTTATACATTTCCATTTTAAATTGATTGATTCAGCATAAAATATGGAGTAAGATTATAAGTATTTTTAACCCTTTCTCAACCATGCATTCTGGTGTTAGTACTTAATAGATAGTACAGACTCTTTGCAAGCTGAAATGTTGCTTTCTTTTGTAATATTGGTGTCTGACTGTGTCATAAATAAAGATTTTATATGCCTATTCACTGAAAAAGATTCTTAAGTTCGACTTTGATTTTTCTTGAATATTCGTGTATGGTTTCTTCTTGACTCATAGCTTTTTTGGTCATTTCAAGAATAATTTTTCTAATTATTGTTCTAAGGTCAAAAGGGAGTGTTCTGTTTGTTTTGGAAGAAGCCTGATGCTAAGTGATCACTGGTCACTTTATGTGCAGGTTTATGACATGCAATTCGAGATAAATGAAATAGAAGCACGGAGAGAACAATATCCGTCCACTATATCTTTCCTTAATCTGATCAATGCTCTTATTGCTGGAGAAAAAGATCTAGCTGATCGAGGGCGTAGGTACTAGCCTTCGGTTGTTAAGTTTCTGCATGAATCTTAATCCCTCTGTTTACTTTCTCTAACTTGTGTGCCTTTTGTTTTGTAGATTTATTGGCATCTTTAGATTCATATATGATCATGTATTTGCACCATTCCCTCAGAGGGCATATTCAGATCCTAGCGACAAATGGCAATTGGTCGTGGCAAGTCTTCAACATTTTCACATGTAAGCTCTATTTTTTTTAAAGAATTTCCTAGGATTGCTAGTGCATCCCTCAATATGAATTCCGTTTCGGGAATCGGCCCTGAACCAAAAATCATATTACTACGTCTTTACACTTCTTTATATCAATGCTCTTAAATTATCTTTTATTTACTTGTCTTAATTTCTGTCAGTTTTCCGATTTGTTGAAGTAATGTTAAGATTTTCACTTATTGACTTCAGGATTTTAAGCATGTATGACATTCAAGAGGAGGATCTTGACAGTTTTGTTGATCAATCACAGTTTTCAGTTGAAACATCTTCACTGCAAGCGCAGCTACCTGTCATAGAATTACTAAAAGTAATCATTTCATGTATTTCTTTGTTTATTGTTTGGTTTGATGGGGAACTTATAATTCCCTTCTTAAATAAGAATGTAACATAGTTTGACCTCTTCCTTTTCTGTGGCAGGATTTCATGAGTGGTAAAACTGTCTATCGAAACCTTATTGGTATCCTTCAGCTTGGTGTCAATTCCATCATCAGTGAACGGATGAGTAAAACTTATGGGAAGATATTAGAAAAGGCTGTACAGCTTTCTTTGGAAATCTTACTGCTCATCTTTGAGAAGGATATGTTTGTTTCAGATTTTTGGCGTCCATTATACCAGGTACTAAGTTATTTTAAAGCCTTGAAGCTTTATTTCTTACCCAACGTATTGCGACAAACATGTAGAGCTGGAGATATATTTAAAATTCTTAGGTTTTCCAAACATGCAGTTGGAGCTTGCTAGTATTTGTACTGAAGTTCGTATCATTGTCTTCAGATATAGCTAATTTGTTCTACTGCATTTATTATATTTTTTCCATCTTTCGTAGTCCTTTCTTAAAGGGATACAAAGTAAGATTATGACCTTACAGTTACTATTATTTTCTTCTACTATAACTCTATGTTCATAATTAATATAATCATCTTGTTCCTAATACGGAGTGAAGTTAGATTTCTCCAATTGTACTATTTGGTCGAGATCTTATTTACTTTCAGCAAGAGGTTATTGGAATGTGTATGTGCACCATTTATCTCGGATTCAACTACTTCTATTTATTGGTTACTATATTCTTTTTTTCCCAATTGAGACTGAACTCAGATTTATTTGACTTAACTATTCAATAGAGTTTTTAAAAATTTGAAACTGGACACATGATATTTAAGTAGACATCCGAAGGTGTGTGGGATTAGGGCCCTATTGGTTATAGCTAAAAAAAAGTAAGCACACAAACAACACTTTTCTGCTTTTTATTTCGCATTATTGAGGCTCATGGTGGATATTTAAAATTACCGTTGTTTTCGGTGCAGCCCTTGGATATTATACTCTCGCAAGATCATTCCCAAATTGTTGCGTTGTTGGAGTATGTCAGATATGATTCTCTGCCACAGATACAGCAATCCTCGATTAAAATCATGAGTGTTTTAAGGTGCTAACATTATCTTTGTCGGGCTACAATTTTTCTCTTTTTTTTAGTCTATGCCAAAAAATTTCTTGTTGCAAGTAGCAGCCAGTATATAGCATCCTTGCTGCTACAAACCCTTTGGTGTATAGATAATTCTGCCCTTGTATATAGGGATTGAGTTTGTTGATTTTGATTTAACATACTTTTGGTGGCAGCTCTCGCATGGCTGGGCTTGTACCGTTGTTGATAAAATTTAATGCTTCTAACCCCTTGGTGGAGGATTATGCTGCCTGTCTTGAGTTACGATTGGAAGAGGGTGAAATTATTGAGAACAGTCGTGATGATCCTGGAGTTCTTATTATGCAGGTTAGTTGTTCACACTAATTTTTGGTTCAGTTAAAAGGCTGTCTTTTTATGTGCCCATTACTTGGTCGTTATCTTGGGCAGGAACTGATTAACCTGTACAGTTCCAATACATTCTTGGTTGATATATGATATTTATCTTTGCAGCTTCTTATTGATAATATTAACCGGCCAGCTCCAAATGTCACACATTTGCTTCTTAAGTTTGATACGGACTCACCTGTGGAAGGGACAGTATTGCAGCCTAAATTTCACTACAGGTCTTAATTGTTATTTGGATTTAGAGCATTATTTATGATTCCTAGACCATCAGCTATTTTCTGTTATGCAATTTGCAGTTGTCTGAAGGTCATTCTTGAAATGTTGGAGAAGCTTCCAAACCCGGACATAAATTTTTTACTCTTTGAGTTTGGTTTTCAGGTGAGACATTCTGATACAGTCCAATAAGCATCAGTGTCTTTCAAAGAAAAATAAAAAAAATAATTGACTAGCTGCATTTTGTACCATAACATTTGTTCTCACAGCTCTTTTACGAGTTGAGTTTGGATCCATTAACCAGCGGACCAACTATGGATCTCCTAAGTAGCAAAAAATATCAGTTCTTCATTCAGGTATAACTAGGTTTTTCTTTTCTAACTTGAAGTTAATAGAATGCTGTTCTTTCTATATACCTAATGCCCTATCACGTACAAGATCTTAAGTGGTTTTTTTATAATTTGTGGTTATTTATTTTCTTGTATGTTTTTTGTGGCAGCATCTTGATACCATTGGTGTTGCTACACTTCCTAAGAGAAGTGGCAACCAGGCGCTTCGTATCAGTTCTCTTCATCAGGTGTGAATATCCTATATGACTTGATGTCGAGCCAAGGAGTTCATAATCAATTAATTTCATTGTTGTGGCTTTACCAGTTAAACTATCTGTCATCGTACATCATACAGTTTGTTTAGGGTTTAGGGTTTTTCCTAATGCACCCTTCTTTTATCCACCTTATGAATGAGAGTGGGCTCCTTTAAAATGTGTCTTTTCCAAGCTGTGTGTGATTGCGCCTTTCTTTTTGTTTTTGGAATAGATTCAAGTGTTCTAGTTGTGTAATCATAAATTACAAATGATGACACATCTTTATGCACTATTTCTTCTGTTGTAACACAGTCAACAATGTCAGTGGCCCGTGTTGTATGACTGTCGTTTGTATTGTGCTGTTTGTACTGCTTGGTAGTCAAAACACTGTATACATTCATATTTGTGTTTTCCTTCCTTGAGTATTAAACATTTTACTGCCTAAATTTGTCCATTCAGTAGATCTCTAATTGTATTATTACCTTAGCTTCGTTTTTTCTGACTCTTCTTAGCCCAAGTGTAAGAGCTTGCTGCTATTTGTCAACGAATAATCAATGATTTATTACACCGCAGAAGTTATTGCATGGTTCTTTGTTATTGATATGGTTGTGCTGATTTCTCACACTTTAACCTTTTGCAGAGGGCATGGCTGTTAAAGCTTTTAGCTGTTACGTTGCACGTTGGGTCTGGGAGTAGTTCGGCTCATCAAGAGGCATGCCAGAGCATCCTTGCTCATCTTTTTGGGGGGGAGGTCGCTGAAAGGGGAAATGAACTTGTTACTTCCAGTAACTACGCTCTTCAGGATGGTGTTGATTATGCTGGAACTAGTTCCATCTCTAAAAGTAAGGTGAGGATAAGTCATATGATGTTTCTACTTCTTTTCTTTAGCTGCAAAGCTATGATGCTGTACTGTAAGGCATCTTTTTTCCCTAGCCGTTTTATTAGAACTATGTATGCTTATTTTTTTGACATGTTTTCAGTAGCATTCATCTTGATATGGGGTTTAGCTCCCATGGTGTGTCCTGACTCATTCTAAATCGAGTAGTATATTTAGTATTGTGAGGTGGTCCATGGCATGTCTGACTGATATGGTAGTTTGTGTGCATGTGATTCATAATTTTTCTCTCTATGGGAATATATGATGCCTTCTTTTTTGTCTTGTGAGGTGGTCCATGGCATTTCTGGCTGATATGTTAGTTTGTGTGCATGCGATTCATTATTTTTCTCTGTATGGGAGTATATGATGCCTTCATTTTTGTGCAGCAAAATTTTCTAACACTGACTTCTCAATATCACATTTGTGTTATTCTTTCTTCCCTACTTAGATTTTTTTGTAGAGTTGCTGCTGTCTTAACTTGACTTGTCTTTTTGGATTGAATTCAGGTCTTAGCATTGCTCGAAATTCTTCAATTTAGGTCTCCTGACACCTCCATGAGGATTCCACAAATTGTGCCAAATCCAAAGTATCACATACTGGTAGGATTCACGTATAAAACCATATATCTGCATTGATTCTAGTGCCTCAAATATGACACATGCCTTGTAGGTAGAGGATATACTTGGGAGCCGTGGTACCTCCGGCAGGGATGGTATCCATTATTATTCTGAGCGTGGTGATCGCTTGATTGATCTAGCTTCCTTCAGCAACAAACTTTGGCAGGTTGGTCCTTGTGATAATTGCTATTACCTGTAGTTTAAGGATGTTATAAAGTTTTGTCCTCACAAATTAGATGCTAAAATACTCGTGCTGATTCTGCTTCTGCATTTCAGAAATTCCATTCTGGATTTCCCCAATTGGATAATTTTCCCAATGAAGCTGAGCTTAATGATGTTAGAGAGACAGTCCAACAGCTCTTGAGATGGGGGTGGAAGTATAACAAAAACCTTGAGGAGCAGGCTGGCCAACTTCATATGTTGGCTGGCTGGTCACAGATTGTTGAGGTTTTTTTTTGGTTCCTTTTTATGGTTTTCTAATGCTATGAAGTTATTAGATCACCTAAATATCACAGAATAAAAGAAAATGCTGCTCTTTTCTCTTTTACAGTTTCGAGAAATCAAGTACTCAATCTCTTTGTTATGTTTTTATACCTTTGTTGTAGGTGTCTGTTTGCAGAAGACTATCTTCTCTGGAAAATCGATCTGAAATTTTGTATCAGTGTGTATCCTCCATTTCGTGCTTTTTTTGTTCTTGCAACCAAAACTCACTCGAACAGTGCATGACTTCCTCTGCTTTGGTCATTTGACAGGATTCTTGATGGCTCCCTTAGTGCCTCGGCTTCTCCAGATTGTTCATTGAAAATGGCATTTGTACTTACTCAGGTACTATCTCTGTTTTTTGTTTTCGGTTTACTTTTCCCTGCAGAACTTGGTCCTATCTCTTTTTTTGGTAGTTTTTTATCCTTAAATGGGGTATGCATAAAATAATTGTAAATGTTGCTAGGTTGCACTTACCTGCATGGCCAAACTTCGCGATGAAAGATATCTATATCACGGTGCCTTGAATTCAGACAGTGTGACATGTCTAGATGTTATGATGGTTAAACAATTATCGACTGGTGCTTGTCACTCAATTCTGTTTAAACTTATCATGGCAATTCTAAGACATGAATCATCGGAAGCTTTGAGAAGGCGGTAAGATTTAAGTTTCATCACTTGCTTTGTGCTTTCTTATCCTTCGCAATGGTTTATTCTGTTTGCCCAATTGGGTAGCTTAACTAATTTTAGTGTATTCCTGACACATTTATATTTTTACACCAGCCAATACGCATTACTCTTGAGCTACTTCCAGTACTGTCAGCATATGCTTGCTCTAGATGTGCCAACATCAGTTCTACAATTCATGTTGCTCGATGAACAAGATGGTGAAGATTTGGATATCCAGAAGGCATGTGTTACTGATGTATCAGTTTCTTCGTTCGTAACCATGTATCAGTTTTGACTTTTCCACTGTTGTTTCAGATTGACAAAGAGCAGGCTGACCTGGCTCATGCCAACTTTGCTATCATAAGGAAAGAGGCTCAAGCCATCTTGGATCTGGTAGTTGTTGCTTTTGTATCCATGTGAACCACAATCCTTTGCAGTATTTCATGTTTAAATTCCAAATTCTAGGTGATCAAGGATGCAAGTCAAGGCAGTGAACCTGGAAAGACTATATCACTCTACGTTCTGGAAGCTCTTGTTTGTATTGATCATGAGAGATATTTCCTTAGTCAACTTCAAAGCAGAGGTTTTATACGATCGTGCTTTGGCAGCATCAGTAATATCTCCTGCCAGGTAGCATTTTCTATTCGCTGCGGAGTGTTGATTGTTGTCTGTGGAGTTGTATTTTCCTTTGAAGTTAGTAGTGAGGGGGGTAAATTAGCCATTTAAGGATTCAGGTTTAATTAAAGTGTTATAGAGAACTAATTTTCTTCACATACCAGCATCAAAGGTTTCAGTTGATAGGATAAACCCTCATCTTCAACTTTTGCATTTAAGTAAATGATGTCCACCTAGTAGCTAGGAGTGGAGATACAAAACTATGAGCTCATGTAAATGTTTATATAATTATGTAATAAGATTCCTCATTCCTGAATCCTTCAGAATAATTTGTGGACATATCCAGTCTTCTTAAAAGTGGGTCATATTGCAGCCAAGTAACAGTTGGCTGGACTTTCTGATTTATATGCAATAACATTTATGGTAGGAAGGTCATTGGCATTTCATGCTACAAATTCAAGTATTTGAGTACCTGTCTGATATAACCATGGGTGTACAAAATGTTGCTAGTTTACCTGTTTATGATACATGATCTTTTGTGAATATATGTTATCACAGATCTGTGCATCTGTGCACTTGTTTTAGTAGCATGATTATTGCTATTTGTTTACGCAGGATGGCATGCATTCACTTTTGTCACTACAACGAGCATGTACCTTAGAAGCAGAACTTGCGTTACTACTGAGACTTAGCCACAAGTATGGGAAGTCTGGAGCTCAGGTCCTCTTTTCCATGGGTGCTCTGGAACATATTGCTTCATGCAAAGCTATTAGTTTTAAGGTAAGATGCTATCTCAAGATTTGTTAGTTCTTCTTGTGTTCTCAATTTTTTCTATGTTTTTGAGGAAAAAAAAAACCTTCCAGGGAAATATGAGAGCAGCTGATATAAAACTTCAGAAGGACATAGCATATGATGTGCAAAAGCAGCGAACATTAACCACCGCTGTCTTGAGATTGGTGTTTTCTCTAACGTCATTGGTGGATACTTCTGAGTTCTTTGAGGTCAGCTCCCTTTTCTTATGTCCAGATGATTTTATGAATTATTTTATGCATTGAAAATTTTGAAATACACTGGAATAGCTCCTAACCAACTCGTTGATAGCTTGGCTCGAGTTACTGGTTTCTTGAGGCTTACTTTTGACATCATCCTCTCTTCTTGTTTGAGAAACAGCATAAGAATTGTTAACCTTCAACAGTTTAAATGCCTCTGTTGACATTTTGGTTTCCCATTAAAAGAAATGTCCTGGAGAAATCTGGCAGAAAACTAGAAGTCATATGATTTAAATTTTGCTATACCAGTGAAGTCTTGAACCTGCCGATGTGTTTTTATTTGTCTTTACTAAAAAGAGGAAATATGCTTATTTGAAACCTTTACAACATCTCTAGTCAATTTTACTACTGAATTATTCTAGGTCATTCCTTCAGATTCTAACTTTTTTTTCTAGATCTTCCCTTCATCAGCTGCAAATTATTTTTTCTAAAACATGAATGCCTGTCATCTGTTTTGGGTTTCTTTTCTCTTTGAATATGGGTCTCCCATAATATGGTGTCCTTGTCAGTGTTTTCCGCATATTTGTTTTACTAGTTTGTAGTAAAACTTTTTTCCTCTCCATATCCTCATTTCATCTGGACATTTTATAGGTGAAGAATAAAATTGTTAGGGAAGTCATGGAGTTTATCAAGGGACATCAATTTCTTTTTGACCAACTTCTTCGGGAAGACATTTTCCAAGCTGATGATTTATTGATGGAGCAAATAAACCTTGCAGTTGGAATACTGAGCAAGGTAAGGGCTTTCAGATTAATGTTTCTGTTTTAGAAAGTTCAAAAAACACAGGAATCTGAAACTAGACCAAAGAATTCTTTTTGTTATTTAGGGACCCGTGTTTCTCTTTTCTTAATTGGTTTTTCGGAGGAGGCTCCTTGAATTTCCATCGGTATTTGGTTGATTGTTTCTAAAATTTGTTTTTGCTTGTACTCTAGGTTTGGCCTTATGAAGAGAATGATGGACACGGGTTTATTCAAGGGCTCTTTGGCATGATGATCATGCTATTCACCAGCTGGGCTGATAAATCTGTCTCTTCACGGACAGGAAAAGGCGTTGAGGTACATGGCAGGAATATTCTAGCATACCACAAGTCATTGCTTTTAATCCTGTGCTCGATTTCTTATAGTCTTTGAATTTATATTTCTATTCCTCTTTTCTGGACAGACGAAGCTGGAGCTCAAGTTATCTCAGTTGTGCTTTAGCTTGACTTCTTATTTATATTTCCTGGTGACAAAGAAATCATTGAGACTGCAGGTACTAATTCAGCCCTGTATTTCTTTTGTGTTGTTTGTATTTGTTTTGGCATTTCACTAAATCTGTTTCCTCTACAGATTTCAGATGAAGCTTTTGGCAATTTTACTGGACTACGGCCACCTACTCTAATGCTACTCGCATCTCTTATTTCTTATGTGACCGATTCCCTTGAGAGAGCAGCGGAGAAAAAGTTCTTGCTCCTTCACAAGGTGACAAAAACATTTCATACTATTCTGTTTCCTCTTTTCATGGCCCATTCAGGATATTTTATTTCTGGTTTGCAGATTAGAGACATAAACGAGCTCTCTAGACAAGAAGTTGATGAGGTCATCAAAATGTGTGATCGACAAGAATATGTTTCATCATCCGACAATATACAGAAGAGGTTAGTTAATTTTATTCTCTCTCTTTTGTAGCCTGTGGATATATGACAGAGCAATTGCTTCGCGTGGACATGGTTGCTGATACTATGTCTATTTTACCAAATGTTGCCTATCAAATGATATTTTACTTGTCATGGTTTATTACTATAAACCTTTTTCAGGAGATACATTGCAATGGTGGAAATGTGCCAAATTGTGGGTAACAGAGACCAGCTAATTGCTTTGCTTCTGCAACTAGCCGAACATGTGATGAACATCATTTTGATACATCTTCAAGATAGGTACATACCGAAAATCAGTTTTCATCAATTGACGTTAAAGTTTTAGAAAATTCCATCGATAAATCTCCATGCAAAATCATTAATTTAGTTGCCATTTATACTTTGTTCTACGTTAATCTTTTGTACGGTTGTAAATCAAGATGTTAAATAAAAATCCAATGGAACAATCAACATATATTAGGAATCGAACCGTGCTGCATTCTGAACTTTGGCAAAATTAATTTGTTTGAATATGTTGTACCTAGCGATTGCTCTTATGGATTTCTGCTTAAACAATGCACTTTGCAGGTCTGTTCTTCCAAGTGACGGTGGATCACAGAAGGCCATCACTAATGGTTCAAAATCTCATCCGCAGCAAGAAATGTCGCTTTTGTGTGGCAAACTGACACCTACGTTAGAAAGACTCGCATTACTGAACGAGGTAAAAAATCGATATCCTAATATTATGGCATAATGATCTCTTGCCATCCGATGATTCTGATCTGTCACATCCCTTTGGCAGGAAAAAGTAGGACACAACCTCAAGGTGTTCCACAGACTGGCGACTACTGTTAAAGAAACGGCGGTCCAGAAATGTTCATAACAAGCTCTCGAGCGAACATATAGGTTAGAATCACAACTCGCGAATTTATCGTGTTTTCTTGTTGCTCGCATCATGTGTGTCCAATTCCATGATATTTATTTTACAAGTTGGGTAGGATCTCTTCCCAGAGTAAAACGAAGTTTTTTTAAGCAAATAGTTTTTTATCAAATGCAAAAACATCATACGAGGCACACAGAGGTGCAAAAGGTCATTATAATCGAGGCGTGAGGTGAAACCGTGCACCCGGGATGTACAAAATCGGGACTGAACCCTAAAGAATCTTCCTGGAAAGGTAAAGTCTTTAACATCAGGACTGGAGGCAAGAAACAGGAGGGTCGACTTGAACGGCATAGCCATGAGCATTGGCGCAGCTCGTGGTCACAGCAGGTGTGATCTTGGATGTTCCATCGAGGTCTGTCGGCACGGGCCAAAGGTAAATATACCGAAGGTTTAATCCCGTGCACGGAACCGAGCGGTCGCAGTCAAAGTTTATGGCGACGGCTGTGCTCGACGATCCCACCATTTTTGTGTATGTCACATTGGTTATGTGAACTCCGGTCGGCTACACCACAGAGGAAAAGAAAATCCATTAGGGTTTCGGAACCAGTGGCACAATTTAGGTTTTTGGAATTGGATATGGAGTCGGGTATCTGAAAAACCCGATATAATATCGGTTATCAAGTATAGATACTTACCATTTCTTTGCACAAACCTTTCTCGGAGCAGTAGTTTTGATCGATGATTATCGGGTTTTGGACGGAATCAAACGTGATGTCTTGGAACAGAACGTTTCGAACATATCCTCTTCCGACCTTCATTTACATAAACAGAAGCTCGAGGTATCAATATCATCGACAAAGCATGAAAAATGACCGACCCTTAGTGTATTAAATGCATGTTCACTGTGAATCCATGCAAGAAATGTACTTCAAAAGAGAGAGAGAAAAGAGAAATGAAATTAATATCGAAAATAAAAATAAAAATGGAAAAACCAAGACCTGCCAAGTCTTGATCCTTAATCCATTGGTAGTACCCTTAAGATATGATCTGCTCACATGAATATTCTCTACTTGCACAGAGTTTCCTCCTCTCCCTAAACTGCCAATACTGTTTCACTCCACAAAAAACAAAATTAAGAACCGGCATATGATCTCGGATTTTAAGCGTGGTTCGAAATAATATATGTTACGTGGTTTTAACGATATCGAAAAGCCACAGAAAAATGTATGATATACCTTATACCATGGCCAGGGCCGCATATAACGTTAGTAATAACGACATTAGACGTATAGTCTCCAATCGATATGCAATCATCACCTACAAAAACTCGTGAAAAACTCACCCGATTTACAAATTACAGCTTTTTCAACTATTCAATCTTAAAAATATACCGAGAAAACTTATATACAAACCCGTAGAAAATACGGAATTGGTGATGAAAACGTCATGAGAGGAGTGAATGTGGATGCCATCCGTGTTAGGGCTGAGCTCGGGGGCCTGCATCATCACATTACTTACCGTTATCGCCTTACTGTTTATGATGAGGAAATGTGTCTGCGAACTGTTTAACGATACAATATCGTTGAGACTGCTCGAATTGCACCCCGAAAATGTTAACGCCTGCGAAAAAATACCAACCATTTTTCCAAATTAGGTTAAATATTCTTTGTATGGTTCTAGGCTTTTGATCAGCCAAAACTCTTTTGTGTTTATTTTGGTAGAATTACTCAACTGTTGGCGCAACAGAAGTGCATCCTTGCTGAAAAGAAAACGAAGTTAGACTCACACGACGCAGAAAGGGTTTGCAAATAGAATGAACATACTATGTTAAAGAATCGGATATGCGATGTGACGGTAGAATTGAGTTAGAAATGAAGATTTGTCTCCGGAAAATTACCAATCTCGGATGATCTCTGCAAGATTGATTCCACCATGCCAATCCACGGCCGTTGAGAGCTCCGAACCCCAAACCAGCGACTGTCAGACCGCTAACATCGATGAACTCAAGCCATTTCCCGGGATCCTTTCCCTTCCACGCAGCAGGAGAATCCGGCGCAATAACCGTTCCTATTACCTACCATAAATTCACAAACAACCCATAGTAATCATTATGTACCTTGTTCGCATTTTCGTTTGAATGAATCACGGAGAGTTTACATAAATTCCCTAATAGATTTAAGAGTTCTACTAAAGGAAATTATGTTGTGTATCTAAACTCTTTGATTGTCAATAATAAGAACAAGAACGATTCCCTACAATTTTTATAAAAAATTCAAGGATGTTTTACATATATATACTAACAAACTATTTTATTAAAGAAAAGGGTTAACGAAATGCACCTTCCGATATATTTTCATGAACATGTTACAATTGGTTCGTTTCATCTCTTACACAATCGGAGAACAAAGGTTGTTATTGACGTTGTATTCCTCTATACAGTTCCATGAGATTTGGATTTTGATTTTCTAAAAGATGTTAGAATTTCTAGCCTGAGTATATATATATTTTTTTCTAATTGGGTATCCTAAACCGAAGTCCAAACTAACCCCAAAAACAGACAAACCCATGTGAATGTTCCTCCTCAGTTAACTTGAAGTTCGAACACAGGGTGAGATAGATGTTAAACGTTTCCATTTCACCGATTAAACTCTCGAAATTTGGATGTCTGAATATATTTTGCAAACTGCTTGTATATATACATCTTTTTTTTGTTCCTGAAATATACGCTCAAATTCTATAAAAAAATAAAAATAAAGCAAAGGTTAAGAATCAAATTTTTTTTCTATAGGTTCTATTTACCGCAACTGTGATGCTTGTGGACCGACATGGACCACTGAAGACTAGAGGGTGAACAAGAAACGTCATGTATTTAGGGATCACCATAATCGGATTCCCTAACGAGCCACATGCTTCATCCCATGCATCAAGAAACGCCTTCAGACCGTACAATGATGAACCAAAAACCAGTCAGCTTTAATATGAAAAGTTATACAAATTTTGTAATTAAAAAAAAAACTATTAGAAGCTTCAATTTCGAAACAAGAACACGAAAATGATCAAAACATGAATGATAATCAAATCAACAAAAGCGAAAACATTGAGAAAAAAAAAACTATATATATGGTGAAGAAATAAATTGCATCACTTGTGTATCATTTGTGTGTCCATCACCAACTGCTCCAAAATCAAGAACGTCCAAATAGAATTCTGCCGAGGAAAAATGTGAAGATCCGATGAAGAGAACGAAGAACGCAAGAAATTCTTGAAGACGATTCTTGCGGCCGCTGTTTTTGTGCAACGGAACCGTCATGTTGATCTTGTGTTCGTCCAGAGGCTGGATTTAATTTTCTTTATTTTATTTTTAAAAGTTTAATAGAATGAGATTAGGGTAAGATGAGAATATGAACAGATGGGGGAAAATAAACGTTATGGAAAGTGATTTATTGCAACTTAAATGTGAGAAGAATATCAACTTTCCATGGAAGCATGATGGAACTTTACCCACTTTTTTTTTTTCCCCTTTCAACAATGTAAATAAAAAAATATTTTAAAAATGAAAATTAAAATCAAAATCAAATATTTCTTATCAAGATCAGCGTGCCGATAAGCAAAAAATATAATTGATTAATTGAGATCGTGTTTTGTACCAAAATTAAAATGGTTGGCGCCCTAATTTTGGAGGCAGATGTCAAACTCCACCGCACCTGTCTCCGTTTCGTACGGTAATAAGTCGAAAGTTCGGGTATTTAGCAAACGTCAGATAATTAATGATATTTAGCTAAGGTTCTTTGGCTTAGTTATGACAACCTAAACTAAATAGAAATTATTGAAATTGCATAATTTAGTATCGTTTTTTGTAAAATAGCATTTTTCATATTTAGTCACTTTTACTTATTAATACTTTTAAACAAAACATAATCATAATAATATTTACTGAAAGAACAAACCTTTACCAATAAAAAAATATTTACTGAAAGAGTG